TTCCCAAGCCTGCCCCTCCTCAGTATTTTCTTCCAGTGACAAATGGCAGCTTCCTCTGTGCATTTAGTTATTAAAACCACAGAACTTGGATTCATCCTTTACTTTTCTCTTCCCATAACTGCCATGTCCAGTTCACCTGCACATTCTTTTGAGCCTTTCTTCAAATTATATTTCCAGTCTGAGCACTTTTCTTCACCTTGTGCTTCCTCCAAGACCCATCATCTCTCAGTGAACTATTGCTGTGTCTTATCATGATCCTCCTGCCTCCGTCCTTGTCCCTCTACAACACCCAAGGTGAACCTTTTAAAATGTCGTTTTTCTTTTCACAACTTTCCATAGGCATAATATCATCTTTCTCACTTTAATGATATATCCCATCCTTAAAAAGCCATTTAAGATTTGTCCCTCTACCACTAGTACTTGCACACACCCTTGCCCTGGTTTACTCTCCTGTCCCTCTGACCCCTTGCCCTGGTTTACTTGGCTGTCCCTCCACACTTCCAGGCATATTCTGTCCTCAGGGTATGCTCTTCCCCATATGCTCATGGAGCTTGTCCTTCGCTCAGATCGCTGTCCATAACTCACGTTGCAGCCTACGCAGCCTTCTCTGAACACTGTATTCAAAATAACACCTCATGGACCTTTAGATGTGTGTCTCTCCTCATAGCATGGTCACCACCTGACACATTCTATATTTGTTTCTTATCTCCCTGTTGGTGGAGACTCCATGAAACTAGGTCTTTTTCTGTGGGTCCAAATCTTTTTCCCCAGAGGCCCAAGTTGTGAGTAGTTCAGAGTTCAGAGTTTTGCTATATTGGATCATTCTGCTGGATTCTGCTCAGTTTTTAATTTCATGTACCCTTAGAGCAGAAGTTCATTAATTGCTGGGTATAAGCATCACTGGGGAGCTTGCTTAAAATGTATATACCCTGACCCTCACTTTGGAGGTAACAAATTCAGTAGAATCGGAGTGGAATCTGGTAATTTTGATGCCAGGTATCCCCAGCCACACTTTACCAAGTGCTATCACATTGTACCAGATTATATTTGTTTCTTGGTTGAGTGTTGCTTTATGTATAGAAGCAGTGTTTGAATCACCTGGGAACCTAAATATAGATCTCCTAGCTCTACCCCAGATCTTGTGAATTAGAACTTCCAGGGATGGATCTTGGAAATCTATATTTTTAAAAAATTCCTGCAGTGTCTCAGAGGTATCTCATCTTCCCACTAGTCTTTAGGAACCCTGACTGGTTTTAGAGACTCCATGAAGCATAAGGAGGTTTTGAACTCAAGTGCAGGTAGTTTTTGTTTTATTTTGGTTTTACTGTTATTTTAGGCTAGATTTTTGCTCCATTCCCCATTAATGTAACAGGTTCTATTCATAACTGGTATTCAGTCAGTCACTATGGAATGAGAACTCCTAGGTTTATTCCCAGTTTAACGTGCTTTTATGCCTTGAATGTTGACCATCATTTCCAGCTACATTTCAAACCAGCTCATTCTCTGAATAAAAGGCCAGAAGTGTGTCTTAAGTTTCCCAGCTCATTCTGTTGGGGACTCGCTTTGTAATCCTTTTTGTCCAGGAATTTAAAATGTTTCCCTGGTCAGACCCTACAGCACGGGGGTGCTATTGAAGCCAGATTTAAAATTAGGTAGTCAGTGTAGTTAGGTAAATCAGGTCTAATATCATATGAGTGAAATCTAAAATGGAGGCCATGCTGATAATGATTCTGGAAACAGGACAACTCACGGAATGTTAATGAAGTCCCAGAAAAGCCCTAGGCCAAAGTCCACCCCAAAGAAATGTTAATGGAACCCAGGAAACAGCCCCCAACAGATTTGGAAATAGCCCATCCCAAAGAAGTGATAATGAAGTCCTTCCTGCCCAGATTACTTGTTTGGCCCACCTGTGTCCCAACCCTTCCCCCTTACATTCCATCACCAAAACTGTAAAAAGGGGAACACATTCGCCCTTCAAGGATTCCACCTCTTGGGTCCCCTTCTTCCTCCGGGAGAAGTCTTTTCTGCTGTCCTTTAATAAACTTCTAATTTCTACTCTGTCTTTGCCTCGGCGTGCTTCTCTGGTGTTATTCTTCAACATTGGGGAAGCAAGGACTCCTCACCGGCCACCAGCGGTAACACTATCACTCATCATCATAATCTCACACCTAACTCAGCCTTCCCCTTGGATCTGTGCTGCTGCAGCACATGTGCTTCAATACATGTGCTTCGACTGACTTTAACCTTGAGGAGCATTCAGTGGTCTCTAAGAGCATCCTCAGGCATGAAGAAAAGGCCTGGCCCCTTGCTCTGAGGCCTGCGTGGTATGCTCAAGTTGCTGAGGAAGGGTATCTTTCTGGGGCCAGTGGCCTTGTCCTACTTCTGTTTTGACACTCTTTGCAGATAGAAAGTTTTAAATTTGAAATCTTCAAAGTATTACAGAAATTAAAATGAGGGTAGGATAGAGGTTGTACGGGTGGCTAGGAATGGCATATACCAAGGAATGATATTTGTGGAACTTGATTTGTTGGCCTAGACTAAGAGGAGTAGCTTCCAGGTTGTAAAGAATCATTTATGAAGGCCCCAAGAGATCCCCTTGGTTAATATGTTTTTTAAATACCTGAGCTTCCATGGGGTGTTCACTCTGGACTTTGGTAGCTATCTTTAAAAATGTTGGGTTTGCCTGTATTTCTTTCAGAAGATGATAGGATCATTATTCACACAGAATCTGAAAGTAGTGCTGTCATCCATGGAAGCCCAGGAGGCTCTTGCAACCTTCTCAGCAAGCACTATAGATTTGCACCTTAGAGTTTGCCTCTGGATAAGCCTTGACTTCATTTTGATGCCAGATGTGAGAAGCATTAATAATCAGGATGAAGCCCTTTGGGAAATTCTATTCCCAGGTGATAGCTGCTTCCTTAGGAATACTGGGGGGCGGGGGGGGGGGAGCGGGGAGCAGAGGCTGTGATTTAGTGACAAAGAGGAGTGAATTGACCCTAGAAATGTAAGGATAAGAGATTTCTAATGAGGTCTGACAGTTCAAGGGCTGAATAAGGAGGCTAATCTTTTTTTTTTCCTGCCCACCCAGTCTTCACACAAATGTAAATATGCCTCCTTCAACAAATTGGCAAATGTGGTTTTAATTTATAAGCAAGAGACCTGCCTTGCCTTTCTCTTCCTCGTCTTTTTTTCTTTTCTAAACTAAGTCACAGGTTTTGCACTTTTTAAACTGGTCTGTCACCTTTTCTGTTGTTTATTTTCTTCCAAGAACATTTTCCCCCATTATTGTCAGAGGAATTTGGGATGAGAGCCGACTGCTGTTTCTTAAAGAAGTTTTCGAAGTTCCAGAGGAAATACATGGTGCTCTTTCAACTGAATTTTTGAAACAAATAAGTAAAGACAGTGATTGAATCAAGTGGGAGACTTGAAGAGCACGTCCCTATCTAGGCACCTACTTCATGTGGTCTGCGCAGAATCCATTGTTGTTATTTATGACCTTGTCTGCCTTCCATTGTGGACTTCTTCCAGCCTTGGGGAATTTACATCATTCCTAATAGCAAAAGGCTTTCTGGTTCCCACAGAGTTGTTCAAAGCCTGACTCATGCTCCTTATGTTAATTGTTCAGCTCTGAAAATACAGCACTTACAGGGTGTGGTTATAAGGGGGAAATCTACTGTACTTATAGGGCATGTTTAGAAGTGTTTCACACATAAATCTCTATTGCTCCCAATCTCTTGTCAAAGTTAAAGTGTCTCTCTAGCTCCCTCCCCCCACCAACTCTGATTTAACTTTTAATTCCCCCCCACACACACACACTCTTTATCAACTATTAAATTACGGGACAACCAAAAAGGAAATGCATCAAAATGCAGTATAATCCAATGAAGCCTATAATACTCTGTTCACTAACTATTAAAACTAGATATGACTGAGTGACATCTGCCTGGGCCTAAAGTCATCAGCACTTTTGGCAAGTAAATGTTTCTGGTAACTCAGTGGTATGGACAGTGACTGGGTAAAGCCCATGGCATCCACTTGGAGAATACCCAGGCTTAATACTAATGGCTGCCTTCTCCCAGGATCCCTGGGCTGTCACTGCTAATTCCCATGTAAGCCTAAATAAAGCAAAGACTTTTTGATAATCAACTAAAACAATTCTTTGTGGAAGGAACATTTTTCTGGAATTTTCATGGGGAAGAATACTTAGTGTCCCAGAAAAAGAGACATTAACACCTTGTCTGGCTTATCTACTTGCATACAAAGGTCAGTGTTGGCAAAAGTTGAGAAACTTTTACAATTGTGTCCTTAGGATGTTTCCATTGGTATGTGAAATAGTAGGCTGATAATCTCTTCATTATAAAAAAAAAAATAAAGACTACAATAGTAGTTAGAATAAGAGGGAAATTCCTGGGTTTTTTAGTAGCTAAGAATGACAAACTCTAGTTTTGAAGCTACCAATATTAAAAAGCTCAACTCTTGAAATAGTCTTGAGGGTTACAAAGGAAATAGGTAATATTTCTATTTTTTTATTAGAGCATTACACTTATACACAATATTTATATTTCTGCAAATAGAGAAAATGTGGGGAATTCTCAGAATTACCAGGGTACTGCACACCGTACCACCAAGTCTTCTCAAAAACTTGCTGCAGCCTGGCTCATTGATTCTGGGCTTTTGTCACAATTTGGACCAGAGAGATTAGATATTGGCCAAGAGTTACCAGTGGCTTGTAATCAACATCCTTTACCTGACAGTTTTCTGTGTTTGTGGTACATATTAATGCATGAAATGTGTAGACTGGGAGTCCAAAAGAAGTTGTAATTTACCAGAAAGTCCTAGATAAAAAAAAGAAAAAAAGTTAAAATAGCCTGTAACACTAAGCAGTTTCATTTAGTCTTTACAAAAATAAATCTGTTCATCTGGGCATTCAGAGTGTAACTGTTTTCTCTCATATTCAGCTAATAGATTTCTGGTTGAACCTTTGTTATCTTTTGGAATAGACAGAAAGAGCTCTCCACGGAGTGTCTGATTATTTTGCTGAGTGTGCGGAGAGTCCACTTCCTCCCAGTGCAAAGCTCAAGAGAAATGCTCTGAAACAAATGTAGGTCCAGCATGTTTCATTTTTCTTATTTGTGACTGCCTGTATGGATGGATGGATAATGTGAAATATGGAATTAAACAAGGAGGCATGGAGTGTGGAGACCAGAGCTTGGCTGGCACTGATCTTGCCCTGGGTCTCACACTTGCCCTTCCCACCCTCTTGACACTATTTTCTTTGCTCTCTGGACAGTGGGGGTAGAGTCCTTGTTTCATAAGTGTGTTGCAAGGAGTAATTAATTGCAAGCTCTTTGAAGATGAAAAGCACCTGCTGGTGGTATGTTTCATATAACTTTCAGGATGACTACAGACAGTCCTTAAAAAATACATTTCTTTTCTAAGATGCTTGTTCTAACTTTAATATAATGATAGTAATCCTTGTTATTATATGTTATTATATATATGAAATACATATATATGTATATATGTTTGTATATACACACAAACACACACATACATTATTCCACCCTAAAGCTTAGTCAGAATACATATCTGAGCTCCAGTGTTTTGACTTTCATTGTTAAGGAAATTTCTTGCCACTCACAGATTTCTTGCCATACTTCTTGCTAAAGATAAGGTCTTTAGTCTCTAAATTTTCCTCACGCAGTTTCTGTCCTGCGCCTCAAATTTTTACAGTGGGAATGAAGTTTACCTTGTCTACTGAGTATTCTGTAGAGAAAGGAGTTAGATTTGCATTCCCCTCTCATGCTGGCTGTCTGAAATTTTTTTTCAAGTGCTATTAACTGAGTCTGATTCTTGTATGGTTAATGAACAATCGTGACACCAGCTAAATGGTAGTTATATTTGAATAATACCTTGAAATGGCCTGAGAATAATTTCAGAAAATTTTACTCACAAACTGAGTAAACTTTTTTTTACTCACAAATTAAATTGTGTGTATGCATATTTGTTCATAGGTACACTTGCATAGCATGAGCTTTGGGTATATTTGAGCATCAACTCCTAGAAAAAAAAATCAATGCATCATACATAGGCAATATTTACTCTTAATATCATTGAAATGAATACCTATTTGCCTTAGTTAAAGAGAACTCCATTGATGATACAGATCAAAAAGCATAACATAACCTAGTATAATGAAAAATGTAGAGATCATTGCTTAACACACTCTTAGGGATTTTTCTAGATTTCCTGGGGAGACAGGGAGAAGGCAGGTAGCACATACCACTTGTTGCAGGTGAGGGAATGTGAGGGAGGGGGAATTTGAAGAAAACTGTGCCATTATAGCTTTACACAGTGTAAAATCTTTGTTGTTGTTGTTTTAGTGCGAAAAGAACAAAAACAAAAAGTAACATCGAGAGCAAATCACAGACCAGCAGAGACATTGTGGGAACATCTAGTGACTCAGTGATTGCGGAGGTAGCAAGGAGGAGGGATGATGGTCAGGCCTCATCAGAATCTACAGGACAAGCAAAGGATTACATAAAGGCAGCTGAGTGCCACCAAAGGCTTCCTGTTCAAAAGCTGGAAAATGTTAATCAGACCCAGCCAGAAGACACTAGCAGCCAGCAAAAACCTCATCCTGGGGAGCGGTCAAAGACAGGGCTTCTAAGCGGGAGCCCTGTCTATAGCTGTGAGTCAGCATCACCAGGTCCAAAGCAAAGTCCACGAGTAGCCAAAACACAACAGAAACGCAGGAACTGCGGCTCTGCGGAAGACTTCGACCACCACAAGAGAGTTTCTCTTGGAAGTGATCGATTAGTCCCAGGAGAAACAATACTGGAGAAAAGCACAGCTGTCAATGTTTTGCCAATTTTAGAGTTGTCAGATCCGGGGTTACTTTTGAAACAAGATTTGGCAAAAACCATGTCTAAGGAAGAGTTGCATGTTTTGGAAAATCTCCCCTCCAGACATCTTATAAAAAATAACCCAAGGCAGGCACAGCAAACCAGCTCAGCCACAAACACTGAAAGATCATCTGCAATTCAAGGCAGCCCAACCAAGAAAAGAAAGAAATTGCAAAGGATTGCAAAGTCATAGTTGAGGATAATAGTAGCCAAATATGTGACAAAAGCGCCAACATGTATAGATGCTGAGACTTAAAAGGAATTTGTTAAGATTTTGTTTGTTTGTTTCTATCTTTATCACAATATTGGGGATTAAATCTAGGGTTTCGTACATGCCAGGCAAATCCTCTACCAATGAGCTGCATCCTCAGCCTTGCAAATAGCTGGGATTATGGGCATGTACCACCACGCCTGGCAAAATGATTATTTTAAATAAAACAGTACATATGCACATTGGGGTTTGCTTTCCAGCAGTCACCTTYAGGAGGCTATCTGATTATTCTAATAATGCTATCTTCATCAGACTTTATAACTGTCTTCAGAAATTTTATTGATAAAGGGCCATCCACCTTGGTGGAGAGGAGACTATTTGTGCAAGGACTGCACGAAGAAACCAGTCACATGTTCCTCCTTGACATTACCTTGCAGACCTCATGATGGGACACATGAAGACAGTGCCTCGTGCTACAGTTAAGTCCTAGGGGTACAGTGGATCCTCCTGCTCCTCAGCTTCAGAAGGGGGCAGTGAAAGAAAAAGCCAGTGGTTCTAAACCACTGGGACCAGCATCATTGGAAACATGAATTAAAAATGTGGGTGTCAAGCCCCACCCCAGACCTATAGAATGAGAAGCTCTTGGTGACTCTAAAATATGCCGAAGCCTGAGAACCACTGGACTGATTGAAGTCTCCTTCATGTTTATTTCCTCCAGCCTGACTCCCATGGCCTCCAGCTCATCAGCTGGGGCCACGTGTGGACATGTACACCCTCATATTCCCTCAAACTTATAAAACACCTGGGTTCAGTGTATGAGTCACTCTGTTCCCAGATTCTACAGTATGACAGCCACAGCATCCAGGGAGCTGTTACTTACGCTTATAATTGCCGGAAGTTTACGGATAATTTATCCCAGCATTGGAGGAAGAAATGGGAGAGGCTTGCTCTTACTTGTAGCTCAGGCCTATCCCTGTCCCTGCCCTTTCTTCCACCTCTAAGATTTTGGTTAGGTTCAGGACAGACCAGAACMCAAGAGGAAGTCAGTGGCCAGTGTTTAGTTTCCCATTTGGAAGTCTTCACAGGCAATTTAAGTTTCTTCTCTGGTCTCACAACTTACTCTTAAAAAGATAAGAAGCTTAGGGCTGGGATTGTGGCTCACCTAGCATGTACGAGGCTCTGGGTTCGAACCTCAGCACCACATTTTAAAAAATTAATAAATAAAATAAAGGTATTGTGTTGACTACAACTAAAAAAAAAATACTTATAAAAAAAAATAGGAAGCCTAAGAGGAGGTCAACCTCAGAAATATAAGAGCCCTAAGTGGGCAACCTGGAAGTTTAATCTGGACCTTACTTGTTCAGTAGAAGATGAAACTTTTGATTCTGGAAACTTTAAACAGTTTCTACAGAAGGTTAAAGTCAGTGGAAAAACAGGACATCTCAGGACTATTCACCTTAAACACTTGAAGAATAAAATCACAGTTGTTTCTGAGAAACAGATCTCTGAAAGTTATTTGAAATACATTACCAAAAAGCACCTTATGAAGAAAAATCCTGCTGATAGCAGTGGCACACACCTATAATCCTAGTGACTCAGAGGCTGAGGCAGGAGGATCTCAAGTTCAAGGCCAGCCTCAGCAACTTAAGGAGGACTTAAGCAACTTAATGTCTCAAAATTAAAAAATAAGAAGGACTGAGATTGTTATTGTGGTAAAGTGCCCCTAGATTCAAGCCCCAGTACAAAAAAAAAACAGGAAAGAAAAATCTTTGTGATTGGCTTCATGTGATTATACCTGATAAGACTTATAAACTTAGTTACTTCCAGATTAGTCAAAGTCAAGATTAGACAAKATGAGAGTCTGAGATCTAGGTGAAGCCTCTTGTTACAGGGCTTTGGTTCACAATGTTAAAGAATGAAGCATTCACTCAATTTCATCCAAAAGTAAGAAAGAAATCTTATTCAAAGACCACCGATGTATCTTTTTCTGCTTACCAACAGGTGTTCCTTTGAAGTAGCATCTCCCTTATATAATAGGGAAAATCAAGAGTATTCCCCAAAGTGTTAAAATTAGCAAAGAAAGCCCAATAAAATAAAATAGCATGTGAGTGCTATTAATGCTCTCCAATTGCAAACTCTCTCTCCCAGTATCTGCTTTCCCCACTTGGATTATATTGAATGAAGCCCACCCAAAGGAAACCATATCTGAGAGCACCATTGTGGGTCATGAAGTTCAGTTATGGTCAGAAAGCCTGGCTGCTGGATGTAGATGCTGTTGCTTTGTTGCTTTGGTGTTACATTGACCTGGAAACCTGTCCCCTTCCTGCACCCCTAAGACCCAACATATCCCTTCCCACTGTGTCCTTTCTTATTCCTTCCCACCTGTTTCCCTTGTCATAATAGATTCCAATCATAGGTGAAAAGGGAGCCCAACAGAATGCTAATAACCTCAGTGGAGCTGACTGTTTATACAGTAGGGTTCGACTCTCAGAATGGAAACTGCCTAAGAAGGTATTTCATTAGTTAACCTGGGCTTGATGGTTAAGGCCAAACTTAAAATGATTTTCTTTCTAGAAAAGTCTTGGCTTGAGTGTTTATTATATTTGGAGAAAACACAATTCATGTGATCTAATAAGGAAAATAGCAACTTTGTGTTATAGATAGATGTGGTCTTTCTGAGACTTCACACACAATGGGTTCACAGCCCCAGCCTTTTTTATATTTTGAATCTTGCTAAGTTACTGAGGCTGRCCTCTTACTTGTGATCCTCCTACCTCAGCCTCTGGAGTCACTGGGATTAAGGGCATGGGCCACCACACCTGCCTTAAATAACATTTTAATAGGTGTATGTTTTTCCCCTTTAACATTCACAAGCATGGAAGGTCTGGAAACAATCCAGGTGATTTTTCTTACACATTTTTTTCTCTTTGCCTTTTTTCTCTTTGCCAAGGCAAAGAGAAATATGCATATAATATCTAGACAAATATGCATATAATGTGTCAAATACAAAGGAGCAAACATTTGTGGAGAATGGAGTGTGTGCAGCAATTTTTTAGTTCCATTTTTTTAAATATTCAAGGAGTGTGGAAAGTATTGCATTTTTTAAAAAAAGGCTTTGAGGCTGGGAATATAGCTCAATGGTAGAGGAAGCACTTTTCGTGTGCAAGGCGCAAGATTTGATCCCTGGCATCACACACACACATGTGCACACACACACTCAGAAAACCCCCCTTTATTTTGATTTATGGAGAATATGGCTTATTTCTGAATGAAATATCCCAAAATATATTCTCGGGACAACAATGGGATCACAGCATAATTGTTTTCTTTTTGCTATTATGTTTAGATTTGGGCATGGACTGTTGTGTATATCGATGGCCTTTGATTCCAGAAAGAGCTTGGCGAGGGCAGGCACATAGGGGAAGGAAATCTCTGCCCAGGAGAATGGCCTGGATTCAGTGTCCCCACTCCGCGTTTCCTTAAGCTCTTTGGCAGGCCCAAATGTAATATTTCCACAAAACTGTAGCGAGTGGCCCTCCCTTGAAGTAACCAGCCGCTTTCCTAAGAGCCAAAAATTCTCTCTTCAGCGTGCTGTGACTTGAATATGGAAATCATCTTAATTTCTTCTTTTTTCTTATGAGGAAATTTCCATGCTTGGTTTGTCAAGACAAGAGAGTTCATTCCTTCATATTGAAACACTAATGAATTGAAACATGTTGAAGCAAGTAAAAAAATCAAAATTAAGCTGGTTTCTCTTAAATAGTTTAAAGCCTTCCTTAGTACAAAATAAATTAAGCATTGTAAAATGAAGTTAATTCAGGTAATTATTCAGTGCAGAAGTYTAACCATATATATCATTGGTATTGTAATATCAGGGTATAATTAAATTATCTGAAATCTGCAGAACTCCCTCTAATTTGGTCTCTATTTAACAAGACAGGGAACAAATATGTGTCAATATGCAGCATAACAGAGGGAACTTGAATGGCTGAAATTATCTTTAATTATCTAGAGTTACTCAGTACCAGTCTGGAATAAGTTTAATCTTGCAGCCTAATGTTACCATATTTCATATTAGCTTGTAAATGTTATTATAGCTCCTTATCAAAAATTTTGATAACTTAAGCAAAAATCAGTAAAACCATGCATTTGTCCTTTAAAGCATCTGATGGGGTGCCTGCAGATGTGAATTTGATAGATCCCTAGAATAACTATTCAGTTGAGTTAGAAAGCCAAACACTGCCATAATCACCAGGTGAGCTCTTTTTTCCCTATCGGTTTTCTCATTTGTTTTATTCTAAACTGTTTAAATAGTTTGAATAGTTTTCTAGGTGATGAAACTATGTATGTAGTGAAAATGTACCTGTTTTATAAATAAAGATAAAAAATTGTCTTGAAAATTGTAATTTTTTCTTTTCTTTTTTCAAAAATAAGTGAATCCCCAAGGAGTACACATCCAAAATACCCTTTTCTGAACATGTTGAAGTATGTCCTATTGGTAAGAAACATTTTCCTTCTAGAAACAGTTCTTAGGTTTTGAATGCTTTGTTTAAATAGCTCAAAGAAGCCATTTGAACCATTGGTCCTGAAGATTTAGGTATGGAAAACCTAGTGTGATACGATGGAATTAATTGACCCAGAAGACTTGGGGGTGATCCTTACAGTGTTTATTTGTTCCTACTTCTGCTTCCCACTGGGAGCTAAGAAAGATCTCTTGGGGGGTGGGGGGTAAAGTTCATGACCTTAACTCCTTTCCAGAAAACGCTGACATTCCCCAAGTGGATTCATTTCCATTTTCTTAAGTGGATCTAGTCCTTATTCAGGACTGATAAAACCCTGGGCCAACTCTTTTCTACATTGCTTTTTATTTTAGTATCCTAGGCTTCTCTGGTGCTGTGCATGACTTCCAGAAGGATTTCAATATCAGTTGGAAGAATACACTTATATAGATGGGCCTGGAATGCTAAGAATGGCTACAAATGATGAAGCATAGTCCATTTCTCCTTAGCATTTTGGTAATAAGGATGGCTCACCATGTGGCCTA